TTGTAAAGCTTGATGTTGAGAAAGCTTATGATCATGTGAGCTGGAAGTTCTTATTGTATTTGATGGAGAGAATGGGTTTTGGGGATAAGTGGAGGAGTTGGATTGAGGCCTGCATATCTTCAGCCAGATTTCCGATGATGGTTAATGGGTCTCCGACCGGTTTTTTTGTGCCAGGGGGATCCTTTGTTGCCTTTCTTGTTCATTATTGTTATGGAGGCTTTTAGTAGGTTGATGGGGAGGGCGGTGGAGTTGGGTTTTATTAAAGGGTTCATGGTGGGTGGGGGTGATGCTCATCATATAGAGAGATCTCATTTATTGTTTGCGATGACACGTTAGTGTTTTGTGAGGTTGAGGTGTCCCAGATGAGGTACCTGTGATCGGTGCTGATTTGTTTTCAGGCGGTTTCAGGCTTGAAAGTGAATGTAGGGAAGAGTGCCTTGATTCCAGTGGGGGAGGTGCACAGAATATTGGTTGAGTTAGCTGCTGTGCTTGGGTGTGGAATTAGTAGTTTTCCGATTACATACTTGGGGTTACCTTCGGGAGTTTCTTCGAGGATTGTAGGTGTTTGGGATCCGGTGATTGAGAGGGTTCAGAGGAGACTTGCAGGGTGGAAGAAGCAGTACTTATCGAAAGGTGGGAAGGTCACTCTTTTGAAAAGCAAGCTATCAAGTCTCCCTATTATTTTTTATCCTTATTCTGGATTCTATATGTGGTTGCTAGTTTGATTGAGAGGCTTCAGAGGAATTTTCTATGGGGTGGATTACATGGAGAATTTAAGTAGCATCTTGTTCGTTGGGAGCAGGTTTGTAGGCAGGCCAGAGGCAGAGGGATAAGGAGGTTGGTGCCATTTAACAGGGCTCTCCTTGGTAAGTGGTTGTGGAGATTTGGAGTGGAACGTCATAGGTTGTGGAGGAGGGTTATTTTGTGCCGGTTTGGGGAAGAAACGGGGGTGTGGTGCTCGTGTTTGGTGAGGATTCCTGCTGGTGTCGGAGTTTGGAAATTCATTAGGAAAGGATGGAATGAGTTCTCCAAACATATCAGATTCAGAGTTCAGGATGGTAGGGACGTGAGGTTTTGGGAGGATCTTTGGTTTGGTGATTGTAACCTTTCTTGTTCATTTCCCAGATTGTTTGGGATTGCTGTTGATAGGCATGCCTCTGTTGCTGATTGCTATCGTCTTGATAGCGGGAGGTTCACTTGGGATGTGCAGTTTGTGCGAGCGTTTTAGGATTGGGTGTTGGACGACATTTGTGGGTTGTTAGATCGTTTGTATTGGCATGAGATCCGTGGTAGAGATAGAGATTCGCTTGTTTAGGGGCTTGATTCTCGGGGAATGTTTGGAGTGAGATCGTTTTTTCGATGCCTGTCAGATACTACAGGGATTATGTTTTTGTGGAAAACAGTGTGGAGATTAAGGTGCCGCTTAAAGTGGCGTTCTTTACTTGGACAGTGGTGTGGGGCAAGATCTTGACGCTTGATAATTGAGGAGGTGAAGACAAATCACAGTTAACTGGTGTTGTACGTGTAAGTGCAATGGGGAATCGGTGGATTATCTTCTTTTGCATTGTACAGTGGCTTTGGACCGTTGGTGTCTTTTGCTAGGAATGTTTGGGGTTTCGTGGGTTATACCTTGATGTACGAGAGGATTGATGGAGGCTTGGAGAGGGTACTATGTGGGAGGTTATGCTCGTGGGTTTTGGAGGATGGCCCCCTTGTGTTTATGGTGGTGTTTGTGGAGGGAGCGAAATAATAGATCTTTTGAAGGAAAGGAATCCTCGATTGTTGTTCCTAAGTCGGCTTTTATTACATCTTTATGTTTTTGGGGTTCAGGTAGGCTTTGTTCCTCCTTGGAGGAGATGATTGATTTTTTTTCTTCTTTGGGACCATAGGATTCCTTTGTTGTTTTTGGGTCACGTTCCCCTTTTGAACATTTTTTGAATGAATTTGCTTAATTATCAAAAAAAAAAAAAAAAAACAAAAAAACTCTTTCACTTACTCTTGTAAGATCCGACTCTCGTTGGGACTCATCTGGTAATGTGGTAGATTTGGCAGGCTCGCCCCGGGCACCAAGTCAATGTAGTGCTGAATGTCCTTCATGGGAGGGAGACTGTCAGGCATGTCTTCAGGCACCAACTCACTAGACTCCTGCAGTAATGGCTACACTATTATTGATAATGTAAAAAGAGGTTGTTCAACTACTTCTCCCTTGCACATAACAACAAATTTTTCAGGGGCAAATGTTACTTCGCCTATAATTTCCTCACTATTGATCAACATATAATTGAATTTCCTTTGGGAAATTTGGCTTCTTTCAGCGGACCCAAAACAATCTTCTAACCATTCTTGTATAGAATATACACGTTTTCTCTACCACGGTGAGTGGCATCAACATCAAATTGCCATGGTATGCCCAATATCATATGGCATGCATCCATGTCGACTACATCACAACGCACCTCCTCTACATATGCTTTCCTAATTGAGAATGGAACGGTGTAGGTTTCAGTTACTCGCGTTTCTGAGCCTTCCTTGATCCATCCAATTTTGTATGGATGGAGATGTTTCTTTATTTTAAGCCCCAATTTTCGAACCATTGTTAAGGAAACAATGTTCTCACTACTGTTGCTATCAATAATAACGTCACATACCTTATGGTTGACAGTGCAATGTGTACGGAACACATTATGACGCTGCGGGTGCTCCTCATTCTTTGGTGTGAACATCAAACTCCTCACGACTAAAGAGTGGGACAACAACTGGCCATTGTCTCCTTCAGTGACCTCTTATTCTTCAAAGGTAAGGAACTCACCTTCCTTACCCTCGCCTTCCTCATGCTCGACTAGATTTATTGTCAATCGCTTGGGGAAATTGTTGGATTTATGGCCAGGTTCTCTACATCGAAAACACTTGCCCATACTTGGGTGTGCATAGGGATTTTCTCTTACAGTTGGGGCTTCCCTTCCAGTAGTGCCTATGGGTGTTGTGGGTTTGGCTTTTGTTGGACCATCTCCAATGCCTCGCCATGTCATTGGAACAGGGGCTTCCATGGTCAGTTTACCCATGTCATGTGTAGGACGGGGTATTATATGAACCACGAGACCGATTCTTCGACTTCTCCGGTAACGATTCTACTCTCTCTGCCGTCGTGACAATCTTAGACAGTTTGAATAGCGGTTGCAGCGCCACTTTCTCTTCAATATCCTATTGTAACCCGCTTTTGAAACGGGCCACCGTGCTAAAATCGGGTTCCGCCAGATTGTTACGGGATGACAACCGATAAAATTCTTCAGTATATTCAGCAATCGTTCTACTTTCCTGCGTGCAGGACTGATAGTTCTGATAAAGAACCTGTTCATAATCAGGAGGTAAAAATCGAGCTTTCATCAACTTCTTCATCTTAACCTATGTACGTACTGGATCTTTATCATCACGTGCGCGGGTAGTTTGCACTTGATCCTACCATGCTGATGCGCCGCCTTTCAACTTATAGGCCACGAGTTTTGACTTGCTTTTTCTCCTGGATATTCATATAGTCAAAGAAACGTTCAACTTCACTAATCCAGTCCAAGAATTCTTCAATACGAATGACCTTGAAAAGTGGGTAGGTCAATCTTCAAACGAAAATCCTTGGAATCATCAATTTCCCATCGACTTCGATTTATCTCCAAACACCTGTACGGCTCAGTTATTACCAAAACCGACATTTTCCTCATAGGTTGGTTGCCTATTCGGTGTGTTTGGGTTGCGATTCACCTTCGTTGGGTAGCCTGTTGTTCTCGCGGTTAAGTTCTACCGTTGTCAATCTCGCTAATACTTGATGCATAGTTTCATGCATATCAAGTAAGGTTCGATTAACGTTGGTCTGGAACTAAGTAACCTCAGCCCTTAAAAAGAGCTACTCCATCACGATCACTGTCGCTGGAGGGGTTGCTTCCATCTCGTGAACCGGCCATCGAAAACAAAGGCGAATCTTGGATTCGGAACCTTACTCTGATACTAACTACGGTAGCCGAAACGATAAAGAACAGTGTTAAACCCTTGAATTCACAAAGAACACACTCACAAGAGAGAAACTGAAATTATATTGATAATGATGATGTCTGCAGGCTTACATCATTTGCCTTTATATAGGCAAGTTAAAAAAAATTAGAAAAGAAAGCATGCGTGAAATAATATTAAAGGGGAAATATGAGATTTGATGGAGCGGAATCCTCCTTAAATCTTGCAATGGAGAATAATATTTTCTATTGTTGGCAACTACACCACTTATTTATTTTCTGAATCCTCCTTATTTATTTGTTTTTTTTTTGTTTTCCTATTCTCCTTACCTTTTCAGCCTCTCTGATTTGCGATGATTCTGCTCAGATAATCGTGAGCGAGTTTTTCTACATCAGAAAAATAGAAGGGTCATGAGTGTTCTTTCTTCGTACCTAGTGTGGTCCCTAATTAGTAAAAAGAAAAACGTTAAGTCTTGGACAGATCAAGCAGGTAGTTCCTCTCTCTCTCTCTCTGCTTGATCTGTTGAAGAAAAAGAGTAAAGGAAATAACAGAATCATCTGCTTGATCTGTTGAAGGCTTAAATTCTCGTCTAACTTGGTTTGGAATGGGAATTTTGCATGATATGGACCGTGCAGGGGCTGTGCATGTCCATGCATTGTTTATGCTTCACTCTGCTGCAATTATCATCAATACAAATGGCTCATTATTCTTTATCAACAACGAGAATTGATCCCTTAAATCCACCCTTTGCTTTAAGATGTATACTGGTATACTTTCATAAGACAGCAATGCGCACATGCTAAGCCAAGTATTGCGGTATTACTTTCGGTTATCAAAGCAATCATCCCCTTAGCACGATGGAAAATCTGGAGATGGTCTTTGATTTCTTTTTAGTTCTATGGATGACTGCATCAATCAATATTCTTTGTACTGATGTCCTAAAAGTAATGGATACGTGAGGATTATTCTTCAGATATATTTCTTTATGGTCTTCAAAACAGGAAATCAAGGTGTGCTGGAGGTTAAGCAACAACAGAATGGCCAATTGATGACAGAATCTGACATGGCACTCCCTCTGGTGACGGTTCCTGTCCCTGAATTTAGTAGAGAGAATGGTGTGCTTTGGGCATCCTCTCCTGACCGTCTTGAGCTGCCACAGAAGCCATTCCACCACTCAAACAGCTCTGATTCACCGTGTGTCTCAGAATCCGGTTCTGACATCTTTAGCAAGCGAGAAGTGATACAGAAGCTGAGACAGCAATTGAAGAGAAGGGATGATATGATATTGGAGATGCAGGATCGGATTGTAGAGTTGCAGAATGATCTCAGCGCTCAGTTGTCTCATTCTACCCATCTACAATCACTGGTGGATTCTGCAAATGGGGATCTGTTTGATTCGGAGAGAGAAATCCAGAGGTTGAGGAAGGCAATTGCAGATCATTGTGTGGGGCAAGTGAGTCCTGATGATGAGCCCTCAGCAGTACCAACGTGGTCGTCCAAAGGGAGAAATGGCCGTGCAAATGGGTATCTTGATGTTGAGAGCAATTCCAAGTCTTCGGAGAAGGGGAGAGGAGATGGGGATAGGATTGAGATGCTGCAAAGGGAAGTAGGTGAGTTGAAGGAAGTAATAGAAGGAAAAGAATATCTGCTACAGAGCTACAAGGAACAGAAAGCAGAGCTCTCAATGAAGATCAAAGAGTTGCAGCAGAGATTAGATTCCCAGCTCCCTAATATTTTGTAGACATTGCAGCTTTTGTGCATTCCTGTTTGAATTTCTTTCCCCCCTCTTTTTTTCCGGGTTTCTTTTTTCCAATTTGATTTGAAGTTCCAAAATAGGAGAAGCTTCCTTTCCCTTTTCTTACCTTGCCACTGTTAGTTATATAATGTTTCATGCTGTTTTGTGTGCATATGTGGATGGTGGAGATAGAGAGAGAATTTCAAAAGCAAATATCATAATTCAGGTATAAGTGGTTGAGGCTGCATCTTTGCCAGTAAAGACTTGTTAACTAATGAAGTTTAATAGAAATGTCTAGCTTTATACAATGAGATGACACATGGATCCTAAATTATAGGGAAAGAGTATTACATGGTCCCGGCCAATCAGCATTTGACACTTAAGCAAATGTGTCATAAGTGTGTAAGCTTTGCTTTGGTGTCAAACAGTGATTGGTCCCGGACAAATGGTCCTAGGACTATGTAATAATTTATTGACACATGAACCCTAAATTGTAGGAAAGGAGTTGCTTAAGGTAGGGGTAGAAGTCTCACCCTTAACGGCACTTTCAATTATCATTTACTATAGATGTCATTTACATTCTTAAGTCTTGTATTTCATTTCTTGTCATTTTCAATTCATGTCTTACTTATGTTTGGATGTATAATTAAGATTGTAGTACAACATATTCAACAATCTTCAAACATTTATTGCTATATTCCACCACATTAGAAATAATAATAATAAAAATCACCCTTTGGTTTGGAAGTGTACTATAATCATGATATATGATCACATGGTTGTGTTTTTTTTTTTTTTTTTCACTCGTTTAAATAATTTTGGATCAGAATTTGTGGTCATGATGGTGATGACTAGTCTCAGAAGTAGAAACTGCCATATCCAGAGCTTGAGGATGGTCTTGTGCAGATTTAACATGTGAACCTTTGGACACCATCTCATTCTTCTTAATCTCTTTCTGAATATGCACATCTTCATCTATGGTTAGCAAAACAGCTTGTGTACCATGTGGACCTGGTATGATGGTTTCTTTTACCTCCATATGTTCATCAATTTTCACTATATCAGTTTCTTGAACCAGTTTCTTCTTCTTAATAAAACAACATAGAGCAACTGCAAGGAATGCGAGAAAGAACAGCCCACCTAGGGAAACAAAGACGATGACTATGACAGTCGAATGGTGTCCATGTGGGGGTGGGGGTGGGGGTGGGGGTGGAAAAATAGTAGGTGGTGGTGCTTGTGGTGGAGAAATGGGATGGAGTGGCGGCGGAGGTGGAATTGAGTGACTAGGTGGTTTTGCTGCCGGAGGTGGCGGACTAAAAGAATGGTGAGGTGGTGGTGCTAGTATTGGAAATTGTGGTGGTGGTGGTGGTTGTTGATGGGGTGGTGCCACTTTTGGAGGGGATGGAGGACTGTGAGGTGGAGATGGAGCAATATGAGGAGGCAGTGGTGGAGGAAAATATGGGAAGGGGTAGTCATAGTTTTGGATAGGAGCCATTAGATTAATGTGATGAAAACAATGGAAGAAGTTGGTGGAAGAGAGAGAGAGAGAGAGAGAGAGAGAGAGAGAGAGAGAATTGGAGAATGTGGTATTCGTCATGCTTATTTGTAGTGTTGAGTAGGAGTTGTGATTTTGTATTTTTTATAGTTATTATGCTGTAAATACTTCTAAGCTTCTAATGACTTGACTCTCATGCTAAGCTTTCTCAAGGGCTGTGGCATTGATTGGATTATAAAACACTCTTCACGTTCTCTTCTCCTAAAAGGCTTGGGTTATTCACATTTCATAGGCCAGTTGATAGCTAAGCAATGGGTAATTCTAAAGGTTTACGGGAGCGAAAATATAGATGTCTCTTCCATTACACATAATATAATATGTGAAAGTATCGACGTAATTTCATAAGAATCATTCGGCTTGAATGCCGGATGATGGAATGGGAAGACCTCTCATTCGGCTTGAATGCCGGATGATGGAGTGGGAAGACCTAGAATATAAGCATATGCGTAAACACAAAAGTGGACAAACACACACACAGAGTCCAGTACTCGTCAATCGCAATTCTCATTACACAAAATTATATTTGAAAACAGCAGAAACACAAGAGAAGCCGAGTACAACAGTGAATTTCCATTTCATTTTTTTACTTCTATTTCTTGTGAACAAAAATTCCATTGTCAATTTGTCATTACTTGAATGCTAATTAATGAACAGAAATGAACTACGAAATTTAAACAATGTGCACAGAAGTGCATTTAATGCATTGCAGCATAATCAACCCTCCATAACACACACCAAATACCAGATACTGCACAGAACAGTGAAAACTAAAAAATAGAAAGAAAAAAAAAAATAGAAAAAACAAAGAGGCATAATTTTAATTCTACTAGATGATTGATGTGAAAAAATAAGGGTTCAAATTATAAAATCCTTATCTTTTTTTAAAATCGTGTATAAAATTCTCACTATAATTCAAAAACTCTCTAAACTAATAAAATTTATGAAGTTAGTAGGCCTACCAAATGGTGTTGTGAAATGTCAAATTTAACCTTACTATTTAATATTAAATTAAAAGTTATAGTTATTATTTTAAAATTACAAAAATACCCCTTTATAATAATATTATTTAATGTTAGTTGGGTTGTTATCTCACTAAAGATGGATTCGATTCCCCAAATTTATTTTTATTTTTATTTTTTTGTAATTTTAAAATAATAATTATAATTTTTAATTTAATATTAACTAGGAATGTCAAATTTGACAATTCACAACCCATTTAACGTGGTCGGTAGCAAATTTGAGAGTAACTTAATAAATTTTATTAGTTCAGAGGCTTTTTTAAAAATTATACAGGAGCTTTTATGCACAATTTTGATAATAAAGGGAAATTTTATAATTTTAACCCAAAAGTTAATCAATATTTACCATTGACAAGAAACATGTCTTAAGTTTTTTATTTTTTTTATTGACAAGATATTCAGACATCCATTTTGTTCTTATATGACTTGTACTTTTACGATTTCATTTGAAAAGTTGAAATAACGCCACTAGGTTCAAAAACCTTTATAAAACATCCTATATGAGATTTTAATTTATAAGACTTAAATATAAATGCACTACTCAAACATTTAAGGCTTATCGAATACAAGAGCACCGCAGAGCAATTTATTTTACGTTTTTATTATTTGTTTTCCTTAACCTGAAACTCAAACATTCTAGTTTTGCCTTCAACGTCTTCAAATTTTTTTTTTTTTTTAAGTTGAAAAAGTACCGTTAAAATCACAATGGACCAATAAAAATTTCCAAGGTTCCAAAGAGAATTCCAACAATAACAGTGGAGCCAGAAGTCTGTGCTTCTCTCATTAAGATGTAAGCAACCCATCAAATGATTGATGATTGTGGGTGTCACTTGCCAAATGTTGACATGGTAAGTTGAAAAATCAACCCTACCCGTACTAGGGCTTTGTGGCAAAGTCGAAAAGTCAAAGAACTACACCAAGCCTTGGCATCGCACTAGGCTCACCAAATCTCGAAGGCCTAACCTTCGAAGGTCACAAGCCCTGGCATCGCACTAGGCCCACCAAATCTCGAAGGCTAACCTTCGGAGGTCACTAGCCCTGGCATTGCATCATGCCCACCAAGCCTCGAAGGTCTGACCCTCGAGCACCCATAAGCCCTAGCACCACATCAGGCCCCATTAAGCCTCGAGAATCTAACCCTCAAGCATCCACAAGCCCTGACACCATACCAGGCCCCATTAAGCCTCGAGAATCTAGCCCTCGAGCATCCACAAGCCCTAGTATCACACCAGGCCCCATTAAGCCTTGAGAATCTAACCCCCGAGCACCCTCAAGCCTTGGCACCGCACAAGGCCCCACCAAGCCTTAAGGGCTTAGCATAAATGCCCTCAGAGCTTTTATAGAATACCGAAACGCTAGATCCCCAAGGAGCTCTCTTACGTAACACTATAGATCCAGTCATAGCATGAAACGAAGGTAGGGTTTCGTGGCTACGAGAGATTTGAACTTTGGAAATTTGGAAGGATCTTGAATTGGTGGATGAGAAGTAAATAAGTGTTTTTGCTCCTAGTAAGGCCCAATCAATGAGATAATGGGATCATACACATTATGATAGCAAACCTTAAAATCACATTTAATGCTATATTAGGCTTGACCAATCGGCGGCTAAGCAGCATTTAATGCTCCAATTGGGGGAGAAACAACATAGCAACGTAGTGCATGACTCGATGAGAGGATTGGACCTCTTAGGTTCCTAGGTTCATCAGGACTACCCATGTGATTCTGATTAGGAGCCAAGCATGCGAGGGACCATTGGTCAATAACCAACATAATCCTGGCCTATAAATAGCACTATCCCATGAAAGAATAATCAACCAGAAAGGGAAGCTGTTATAGTACTGTATACTTGCCCTACCCCTATCTTAATCTTGAAGATTGGTCTTCTTCTCCTCCTGCACCAAGCATATTCTCTGTTTTCCTTCACATTTGTACTTTGATATCACCATTGTTCATTTGTTTATTGTGCTAATTGAAAAGAACCCCTACAAAGATCTTCAACAAAGATAATTATTAATTTTGTTTTGGATTAAACTGCATGTCACTGCATTATTATTCACATAAATAAATCAACAAAGAACCACCAATCCAGCCTTCTATTACACAAATTCTTCAGCAGTGGCCTCAAATTAGAAATACAGAGACAAGCAATCACTCCTCTTGTAACACCCCCACATTTTCCACGCATAAGTTGATCAGGCTTATACACGAAAAACGAGGGATATCAAAAACAATTGGCAATATACAAGCATGGAATACAAAATGATGATAATAAAAGAATTTAGACAGGAAAAGAACACTAAATAATACAACATCCATCCATCATTTATTTAATACAGTACTCCATTACAACTTGGAAATCCTATGTCAAGGATCCCTAAATATAACCCTGAGAGTTCAACGTCAAAAGTAAATAAAAATTGAAACTGAAGTAATACATAAAACTTCTACCCTGAACTGGATCGTAAGAGTAGATGAGTTCGGATGGTGGTCCCTCACTGCTAACCTCAACCTTGGAACGGGTACTGACCGTATCCTGAAATAACAACAATGGTGGGTCAACCCCACGAGCAAGTCCTCTCTACTATGACCCAAATCAGAGAATCAAATAAATTAATCATTAAGAATCGGATGAGTACTATATCTGTATACCTCCTAAGGGAACTATCCAATGTATAACATGACCTCAACCAGAATAGACGGTGATCACTTTGACTCACACTAGGTGGTTAAGTGTCGCCTTTCCCTACCCGGGAAATCAGCTATTATACATGGTGCACGGTACTGACAACACAGACTATAACGAACTACACAGTGATAACACCTCTCAAAGTACTGATGAATATACTGAGCATATAAATTAGGCAACACATGCTAATAATATTAAACCACATACCCCGACAGCCACACATCTGTCTATAGCAACGAATGCATAAGGTATAAATGAATCTAAACTTATTAGCCAACTCACATGGTTCTATATGGCAACACATCCATATAATATAAATGCGACTTAATTTAAACAGTCCATTTATTTTCCGGAAATGCACACAGCATAATAATAATGATTTGTATATCATTAACAACATAAATAATCCTGCAATGTATAACGGACAATTTATTTGAATTAAAACCATGTAATCATTTAATTTTAACTTTAATGATTTAATACTGTTTAATAAAATAATAACACAATTAATGATTAACAATGTCATTAAATTAACTACATCCGTTTAATGGTGATCTGTATTGAAAACGATACAATTAATATTTAAAAATATTAATCGGACATAATAATAACTAACGGTTAATAAAATAATAATTTAATGTCCCGTTAAACCCGTAAGTACCAACCATAGGCCTAAAAGCGCAAGTTTAAGGTTCTGGAAATTACAAAACAGGCCCTAGGGGTATTCTGGTAATTTCCAGCTGCTGAAAGGGCCCTTCACGCGCCCCCACGCGCCGCCCTAAGCTTCCCCACGCGCAGCCCTACCTTCCCCACTCTCCCACGCGCCTCCACGCGCGTCTGGCATCAGCCACGCGCGCGCACGCGCAGCCACGCGCGCATTAATGGTTCCTGCTGACGTGGCGTGTGCTGGTTGGTCGGTTGTACCGTTTCTATGTGGGCGCGCTACACTGGATTGATCTTAATGATCATCCTTTAATCCAATGGTCCCTGAATTGCGCATATCCTATTATTGTATACTATGCTACATAGAATCAATCTAGTGGTCAAAAGCTAATCCAACGGCTGCTGATGTAAGTGCATGGGAACCCTTGTGCGCTGCCTCACACCGGATTACTCCGGTTGTCTTCCCCACTGCCGGTGACCGGAATCTCGCCGGAAAATTCGCCGGAAATTACAGAAAATGCCCGGAAAATTCCTAAAAATTCTAAAAAAAATCCCTAATACCTTAAGGAAAT